GGCCGGCACAAAAAATCTTGGACACCCACGACAAAAGTTGCGAGGTACATTAGATCCATCAACCACTCAGTGGAGGGTGTTGCTGAGGAACAAGTGCGTAGAACTCGTGAGAAGCACCACGGAAGCGACACAAAATGTGTCGCCCAAGCGCACTCTCAACACTGCGCTCCTTTTTGAACTTTCAGGTATGACAACCCATCAATGCACAGCCGCATGCTTGGGGCTATCTGAGGTAGAATGGACAGCCTTGGGCTGCCACTAGTCACAGTCTTGCTGGTCCGTCCCTAGGTCACTTCAAGAAAACATGCGGTCTGTGGCACACCTCTGGTGTACTCCCACTAGAGTCACTAGACAGAGTCAAACATAGGAACGCAAACCAGCAAGAATGACATGAAGAACCCCAAAAATCGAGGAAATGCAACTGGAGAACCTCCAGGCAGGAAGCTGATTAACGGTCTAACGAGACCCGGAATCAGCGGGTCGCGTTTCTTTGGACCTGGCGTCCAGATTTTGGACCTTTGCACACACATTCTCGCAGCCATGGCTTCAGCCTTTCGAGAATGCGACAGTGCCATGGGCAGCCATCTCATCAAACAAAGAATCGGCTCAATTGCACCAAGCAAATCATCCGAAAACATCAAACAAATCAAACAAGGAGTGGGATGAACCATGAACGGAAAGAATCCACCGCTTTTGTTCGATGTGTCACTGCTGCAGGAAACGTCCTAAATCTCAGCAGCGATGACCCCACTCAGGCCAGCTCCCGAAGTCACCACACAGCCCATTTGAGGTCTCAAAGTAAAAATGGAATTCCCGACCGCGACTGTGAGGGAACCGACCGCGCCAGAATCTCGGTCGCCGAAGAATCGAACGGGTCGCCTGTTCGTCCCAGGTCGCATGTCATCGGCTGAATCGCTGCTGTGTAACGACACCCCAGGAGACTCACCAGTCTACGGGCATGCCACTCCCACCTGAAACAACACTACCTGCAACCTCCCCAGAACAGCACTTCCGAAGCACCGGAAGAGGTGACTACCCGCATCGGCTACCCTGCCATCCAGCTTTGATGCAACAGCTAAGTGCGCAATTGCAAACCTGGCCTAGCAGATCTAGCGGCACTAAGTTTTTGTTCGCGAAGGTGACTTCGGGCGAGGCTGAAAACTTCTCGAAACACCACAAAGCCGCGAAGCAAAACAGAGCTCAACTTGGCTGTGCAATGATAAAGTTTCAAGTTTCAAGGCATTGTGAGTCCAGAAAAGGTTCCAAGGCACGTCTAAAATTACAGGAGGTTTGCTCACTGACCAGGGCTCATGTAGCACACCCGGCGCATCTGGCAGTCAAATGCAGGCTGAGAGATTTATATAGAGACACCACAAAGGCAGTGTGTCACAAAGAGACTTCCTGTAGGAAATGAGCCAATGGATGCCATCCAAGCATGTACTGTAATTCTGTTTTAGCACTTGGGCTCAAGAAAAATGTTGGGCTGCACACTCCAAAAGCGGTATAAACTATACAAAAACAACGAAAGCAGTCTGTCTTGACAAACTCCTTCCAGCCATCCAAAATGACGGAGGACAGAATGGTCAACTGCAATAGACACGATCAACCTTCCTCACAACTTCCCATCCAATTCGACCCCCACAGGCAAGGCTTTCATAGAATTTTTGCTCCCAAAGCGACAGCTGGCCTTTAAAGTCTCCTCATCCAACTGCATCTTTGCTTCCCATCGAAGCCGCTCGGCCTCTGAACTCGAACCTGGCCACAGAAGTGTCGAACATGGCTTGCTGGGATAACCACAGCATTATGCAAAGCATGATGCAAGTGATAAATCCCTGTTTTCTGGCTACAAATGTGAATGAAGTGTGTAAAATGAAGCAACCAAAGGAAGACTTCCTCAAGGAGGCTTCTTGAATAACTTCCTGAACTTCATCTTCACTGACACTTCCCACCTGTACGGCCACAGGCGGGAGCAGACTGACAGCGCCGCCTGTTCTGCGGCGATGCGTCCGGCTGCCTCCGGCTGCGTCGTGGGCAGGCCGAGACATCTTGAGCAACTCGAGACATCTTCAACTTACGCGAAAGACGTGGAATTCAACAGTTTATTGACCAATGGTACCAGTGCCTCGTGCCAGCTGTGAAAGGTGGGGTGCGCACTGCCCCAGCAGTAGCAGGCCGCCTGCAGCGTCAAGTCTCGTTCTACCCTGTCATTTGCTGTGTCAATTGAAGGAGTCTAACTTCAAGAAATCGCCTGAGTCCAACCCACCTATGTATATTATGTATATATATATATATGCTCGTGTTTTTTGTGTGTCTTAGGCTTGTTGTTCTTGTTCTAGTTCACACTTTTTCAAGATCAGCACGTCCATCATTGTCTCCCTCAATGTAGTAAACGTCCTGGAGCTGCTCGTCGTCGACGGTCGTGAGCCCGTTGACGTCGCTCCGGCTGATGCTGGGCGCCTGTCGACGGTCGCACACCCGGCGGCTGAATAGACTCGTCCATTGGCAGAGTCCAACGGCGCCTGTTCTTGGGATCTTTGAACTCGGCTCTGTACGAGGTGGACGGCCTTTGCGAAGAACAAAAGAAAGAGCGCCAGTGCAATTCGTAGAACGGCCCTGTGGCTCATCGTTCAAGTCCCTCTAACATGGCTCTGAAATTTGGATACTTCGGCAGACCTTCAGCGACATCACAGACCAAAGAGCCAGCTGAAGTTCCTCTCCAGGCCGCCGCACGGGTAACTCCGGATTCCCAAGAAAAGGTTGGGCCTCCGGCTCCAAGGGTTATGATGCAATGACTTGAAGACCACAAGGCAAGACACCTGTAGAAGTGAAAGCATGATGAACTCATTAACTCTGCAAATATCTGCAAACTACCTTTGTTTCCAACCTAAGAGCCGTCTCACCAACCAAAATTCACCAAGCTCAAAGCCTTGAACACCGACTTCGTGACTTCGCCTTCAAGACACACTCCCGCCTCGGCGGCTTGGCGGCTTCACTGGCGAACCTGAGGAGAAGCAAAGCGGACGCCCCAAGAAATGGACTGGGACCTGGCAGGCGTAGGCGCAGAAGGGGATCCCGGATCCATGAAATCAGACTAGACTGCCAAACAAACGCGGACACTCGCGTAGTACAAGCGAGCCCCGCACCGAACTGGCAAGCCAAAGACGTCGTGCGTCACAGACCTGCCCAAGTGTTCTGTGTACCCAACGGGTGTGGACTAAGACCTTGGTTCTTGGGAAACCACTCCAACTCATCAAATCATTCCATGGGGGCATCGTGGGCATCGTGGGCATCGCACCGGTCCATTCTGTCACAAAACAAACATTGCCAACAAACGTCAAAAGGCATTTCGTTCGACCACTGTTCACGGCACCTCTTCTCCAACAAGTCCCCTCTGGGGAGAGTGTGGGTGCGGCCCACCTGCAGGATGGAGCTTGAATTGGTGGATGAATTGCTGGAAGAGTTGGCTCAACGAGTTTGCTCAACAGTATCTATATATGGTTGTAAGAACCCATTGGAGATGGCCATGTGAGTAGCCCCGCGAAACCCCTTTATAGGCTAAAGGAACCACGGGGGGGCCGAGCCACACCACAGAATCTGTCAAATCATCAAATGCTGCTGTCTGAGGAAAGAAGCTCTTGTTACTGTTACATGTTAAACACTCTGCTCACGGCAACTGCGACTCTTCATCGAACCTCGTTGCTTAAACGGCCATTATGAGATCTCCTTTTGCGGGTATATACAGTAGGTTGAATAAATGATTTCATCATGGTCAAGGTGCATTCGGCAAGCTATTCCGGTAAACCTACAGTATGTCTTCGTGGTCACATCGATCAGGAAGCCTTTGGTTTGCAGCTCTTCTGCTTTGCGTGGCGCACCTCAACCAAGGAATGACAAACAAACAGCCTAGAAACGTGTTTGACACCACTCCAAACCCAGGATGCGCTTTCGGTGGCTCAACGGAAGATACCTCTCATACTCTCTAGCCAATTATCTGCAACACCCGTAACAAATCCACCTCGCTGGCGCTCCAACTGTGAAAGTCATCCTGGTTCAGGTGCAAGTCAATCAAGGAACTGCGTGTATCCGCGCGGCTCAGCTAGTCACGCGCGCTTTACACTGACCCGAACATCGACTTCCAAAAACAAAACAGCATGTGCAGCATGTCGGGTCGTCGGGTCCTTGTTGGATGTGGAATCATTAAATTTTGCCGCTGTGGTGCCTCAGCCCCATGCCAGAGCTGCCTTGCGCAGTGGATGGTTTGACAGGTTACACCAACTCTTACTTGAGGAAACGCAACTCCAAGCTAGCTGATTGTTCTGAGGCTTTATGTACACACCGAGGAGAATTAGCTGTAACATCTGAGCAATGGACTGGCAAATCCAGGACTGCTTCGCAGTTTGTTCTCCTAAACGAACCAGTCGCGTGGCGATTACAAACCCAGCGAGAAGCTATGCGCGGCTCCACAAAACCTGCCGAATTCCGTTGTTGGTCTGGGACGCACGTGGGTCTCCTTTGCCAAAGCTTTGGTGACAGGAGCATCATCCAATGGAAGTACCTCACGAAGTGCGCAGTCAACCATCCGAAAAGAACGCTGTCCAACAAGACGCCCGAGACTTTCTTTCTGACACGGTCTGCGACTGTGACTGCTTGTGCGCCGTCCATACTGCAGCAGTCCCCAAAGACCTAGTATTGAACTGTGAAATTCTTCACGGCTAGGCCATCTGGCCACATAGTCGGTGTAGTAGTACACAGAAGATCGATCCAGTAGAGGAGCCCTTGGCCGGATGAATGGGAGAAAGTTCAAATCCATCCTTTTATTCCAACCTAATACCTCCAACCTAAAAGCCATGGCCTCCAACCTAAAGCCGATGGCCTCCAACCTCAAAGAACTATACAAAGGGCAACCATCTATCATCTATATATGTTGTTGAATGCGTCCTACTTACCAAACTGAAGGACAGCAGTGGCTGGCATGGGTTCTGGGTAGGCGATTCCTTGCAGTTGCTTGAGGACAAGGATAAAAGCGATGCACCGCACTCAAACCTGCTATTTTTTCTGACCAATGGCGGCTGCTTGTCGCCTCCATTTGAGGTCTTTACCAATGTTCTGCCCAATTTTTTGGGAGAGCTTTGAGAGCACCGAAGCAAAGCTACCCTTAGGAGCCAATCCAGCGTCCTTCACCTGCTTCCAGGAAGGCACAGCTAGAGCACTGTAGCACCAACAAACTACAGCAATTTCAACGAAGCACATTGCACTAGCAAACGGTGGCGAAAAAGAAAGATGCGACTTTCCCACTCTGTGCGAGAGGCGCACAGCAAGCTGAGCAGCTATGGCTCAGAGATATCAGTGACGACCCAGCCCGAGGAAGGACCTCACTTGTGTCCAGTCACAAACATCAGTCGGTTTGTGACGTCAGGTGCCTAAAGCTGTGGGGATGCTGCCGAAACAATACGAGTTTCATATACTGTACATGTACATATATACATATATACCTGGTACACGGTATAGACAGGCCATACAGGGGCTGATGTACCCTCGTGGAGGGGGCTGCAGCACCATTCATATATACCGCGCATTGGAAGTACATTGGCGACCATTTTTCAGAACCTATCCGATCTATCCCTCTGGCCTGGAATGTTCGGCAAATTTGCTGGCTCTCTATCGGGAGCAGGGCCGTCTTTAGCAGCCCAGCATTCCTTATTGTACTCTTCAATGAGGGTGTCCTTGTGCTCCTCAAGTTGGGACAGGCTGATGGGTCTAAAACCGGATCCAAAAGACTATGACTCAAAAAAAAGCCATGACACCCTATGCTTGATTAGCAATTTTTACACATCTCCTCAACTTATGAACCCCTTCTTCAATGTCCTCGGTCCCTTGCAGCAAGTACACCGAATGGCCAATCCGGAAGAAACGCCAAAAGCGACCCAAGATGAGCAGTGCAATCAGAGGAGAAACCGCTCCGCTGGAGATGCTGGCCTTTTGACCCAGGGTCTGCAAAGGGTTTTCCAGCTGTCCCAGCGAGGGACTGGCGAGGCTGAGGATCTCAGTCCCCAGCGACAGTAGGACGACCAGCAGGTCGAAGGGAAAAAATAGAATCCTGAAGTAGTTGCAGCGGAAGGCAACGATAAAGAGAACATTTTCCAACAGAAATATGCAAAGGATGATCATGCTCATCACAATGAAGACATGGTCCAAGTTCTCCAAGCTTTCTGCAAACTCGTACTCCGACTGTTCCCTTACACACTGAAGACCACCATTCGTGTGAGAAAAGTCGTGATGATGCTGAAGGCTCTCAGAAAGGTTGCTTTCCAAAGCTGCACTGAAACAGTGGCCAATGGCCATGCCCTGCAGTGCCACAACTTCGATCTTAATTTGGAGTCCTGCCATCACCAGTAGTGTATCAATCAGTAGCAGAACGATCAGGCCGTAGTGCAACGCTCTGCCAAAAAGAACTCGTACCAAGGCAGCTCTGCAGGACTTGGAGCTTAGGTGGAGATCTGGCAAAAGGTACTCCACAGCTCTGGCAAGCTCCGGAAACTCTGGAAGATGAACCTCTGCCGCTCGTGCACCAATCATCAGCAGCTGCTCTCGGGCGCTGAGATCGTGCAATCGGCATTTGAGATCGCGAACACGTTCTTCATGTTCTCTCAGTGGCTCGGGTCGTGGTTGCTTGCTCGGACAAGACATTCCGGCATGCACGCTCCCCCTCTCTTCAAGAGATCGATCTTTAAGAAGTCAAGTGCTCTTTTTATTAACGACCCAAACAAAAGGAATGAAACCTTTGTTGTTTTATTCACTAATGACTAATGCAACCTTGAACCTTGAATCTGTTGCCAACCTTTCTGTATACTTCTTGTATGACTGTCCTCAACATGTACGTAACATATGAAGCACCGGTTCGCTGGTAGAGTTATCTTTTAGTGCGATAAAGTCAAGCAGCTATTTCTATGTTGCCAATGATCAGGCCAGGCCTGAAGAACCAGAATGCAACGGAAAGTTGACAGAAATGCTGTTTTCACGACTTTGTTCTGTTGGAAGCTTTACCGCAGCGCACCAACGAGCCACAAAACGGTTTCGCCCTGGAATCCCATCAACGAGGTTTCACTTCACGCAGGCTCCCACCAATGGGCCTGTCAACACCGTCCAGACCTTCCAGAATAATCCAGAAGACCTCGCTCCGCTGCACGTCTCCGTGCCTCTTCTTTTGGTACTGGAAGTACTTGCCATTTCGCTGGCCAATACCATGCCTGGGCCGCCGTCTCGCAATCGGTTCAATGGTTGGACCTGTTGTGAAGAAGGCGCGATCTTTGATGCGTTTTTGGTTGGGTGCGTACGCTTTTGGTTTTGCCCTGTTTCTATTTTGCTCAAAAGCGATCGGAGGTAGATCTTCGGAAGATCCTCCGAACGGTGCCCCCCTTGATGCCGCACTGTCTCCCTGTCTCCCCTCCCTGTCTGAGGGTCTCGACACTTCGATGAAATTCTCGCCCTTGCCCTGCCACAAGAAGTGTACAGGCTCTGAATTTCTCAAACTGAAAAGCTGGCTCCCCAGTCCTTGCAGAGTATACCTGGCCTCAGACAAGTCCTTGAAAGCGGTGAAAGCTTCGGCTGCTGTGGTAGTAAAATAGAGCTGTCTGGCCTAGCAGGGCTAGAATCCATTTCACTCAATCCGTGATTGGAACTGAAGGAACTAGTTCCAGGCACGGGTACAGCGAATATGCAAAAAGAAAGCAAGGATAGAAACCAAACATCAGGAGTGTCGTTGTCATGTTTGAACCCTCAACCTGGCCTGTGCAGCATCCACTGTGGGACACGGCAGCAACCTTACAGCAATTGAAAGAAACTGCAATTGTCAATGTCGCATGGGTTAACTCGTGGTTCTGGCCTTGACGCTTCCAAGACTTTGGCCATGTCGGTGCTTAGCTGGCTTCTTTTGCGCTTTCCTGGTTGACTTTTGTCTGCTGCACCTTTCTTTTGATGCGTTCACAAATTGACAGGCTCAACAACCATTGTCTGTCCCAAGTACTGGCAAGGGTCATTGTGAAATGTTGACCATGTGCATTTGAGTTTGAGGAAACAAACTGCAGAGAGACCATTCAATGTCATTGATCAAAACTCTTTGAGCCATCCAAGCCCTGTTGTCGTCTATGCCTCCACAAAACACCCAAAAACAAAAAAGAAAAAAACAGATGGTTTCAAAAAAGGATTGTTTCAGTCTTGAAGGTCGTGACACAGGGGTGTAAAATACAGCAATGCTTCAAGATAGTCTCTTGACAAAATAAACAAAAGTCTGTCCAACTGACTCATAATAAACCCCTTAATCAAACATATTGACATTGACCACGGGGAGACTCGCGTGTAGAATGGCGAGCGTTGTGGAAGCAACTGGCAAGACAGGTGGATGCGTGAGGACGGTCAACAGACCGCTGGGGGACTTGGCCAACCCACGCACCGCCGGGCGGTCGCTGGAGTTGGGAAATCCCTTGGTGGCTACGCCGCCCAGAAACGTTCTTCCAAATCTTCCAACTCTGCGCAACGTAACTCGGCCCAATTTGTTTCAGAGGTGCTCGTGAGGTGCGCGATCAATGGTGGTGCTGATGCTACTTGGGCATCCTTGTAAAAAGTCCCTGTCATCGGCGATTGGGATCAAGTGGAGGCACGCGAACACAATAGAAAAGCAAGGTCCATGTGTTTCCACGCTGCATCCACGCTTTAAGGGTCCAGGTACCGCTTTATTCTTGGGGAGTCGTTGTTGTTGTGTAACACCCCAGCAACACCTTCTCTTGAAAAGGGCAGCTTGTCTAAACCACAACAATCCTTGCCTGCCTCTGAACAGCCTTGCACCTGTTGCCTGGAGAACTCGCTTTTTGCTGAGGGAAGGAAGGGGTCGCTGCAATGGCCGAATGGAGGCACCGAATGGCCAAACAATGTGTTGCATGCTAGGACGGCGGCTTGACGAGGTTTTGGCACGTGCCAAAAAAACAAGGCAAACGCGTCCCCTGGCCTGTGGGATGGTGGATGTGTTAGCATAACGGCCGAGCGTCGCTCCATGCATCGGACAGAAACTCTTGAGATTGGTTCACTATCTGTTCCGAGCACTCAGGTTGCTCGTAAGAGCAAGTAGCCGAGTCAATTGAATTGCCAAGCACAGAAAATACTAGCAAATCGAGTCTGACTGCGAACCAAGGTAAGGTTGCCTCATGGGGCAGCCGTCGAAACCAACCACCTTGAAGACTACAACTCTTTCAAGGCAAGTTTTTCCAAACAAAACCAGCAAACTGAAGCATCGACAAAACTACAAAACACACAACATATTTTGCATTCACTCTTTGTGTTCGATGGTGATATGAAGTATGAACTGGGCGTCTGTGATGTGTTGATGCATGAGGTGATGGACAGCCGTGTGATGGACAGTTTGTGACGTGTTGATGTGGTTGTAGCAAAGTAATTTGTGAGGTCTACCTCGGCAGCACGGTGGAAATCGGTTTGCGATCCGGTGTAGTGCAAAGTAGCTCCGTAAGGTGTGATGTGGTGAAATATTAACAAATCTGGGTGATAATCTGATGGTGTGCAATGAGGTTCAATGTAAAATACGGTCTTTGGCGTGATGAAGTCGAATTGCGCTACACTTGTGGTCACCAAAAGTCTTATTTTATCTCCAAAGACGTGCAAGCGTTCTGCTGTTTGAGGCACTCATGTTCAATGTGCGTTTTTGGATTTGTGCAACCAAAGTTCACACACGTCTCCCACATGCGTTGGTCCTTCTTGCTGCAGGGTGGCCGCCTCAGTCCTGGCCCTAGCACTTTGTGAACCTGGACGCGCAGAGTTCGTGACAGGCACAGCACTTTGTGAACCTCCAAGTGTTGATTTCGCAGGCGCAGCACTTTGTGGACCTGGAAGTGCACTTTGCAAACCTTGAAGTGCAGATTTCGTGGCAGACACAGCACTTTCTTAACCTCGAAACGCTGATTTTGTGACAGGCACAGCACTTTGTGAACCTCGATGCGCAGACTTCGTGGCAAGCACAGCACTTTTGTGAACCTCGAGTGCAGATTTCGTGGCAGGCGCAGCACTTTGTGAACCTCGAAGCGCGGATTTCGTTGCAGGCGCAACAGTTTTGTGAGCCTCGAAGTGCAGATTTCGTGGCAGGCTCACACACACTCACACTCACACTCAGACTTTCTCACTCTCCCACTCTCACTCACTCTCACTCTCACACTCACTCTCACTCCTCCCTCTCTCACTCTCTCACTCTCACTCTCACTCTCTCACTCTCTGACTCTTTCACTCACACTCTCACACTCACAGTCAAACTTTGACAATTGGTTTTCAGTTGACTCCCTGAAAACCCTACTATACCTTAAGTAAGTACATTACAAGCGTCCTACACACAAAGTGAGAGCAGGCGCAACAGCTCACAAGCAACGAAAAGCACTCGCGCACTCTCTGGGCCTTGAGCCAAAGTTAAATACAAAAGGCTATGAAAGAAAACACGATCAAAACGATCGAACGCGCCGTTTTCACAGCTAAACCTTGGGCCACTTAAGGCCGGCGAAGTCGAGTCTCAAACTGCACATGTCAAAGGTGGAAATATGTGACACTCCACCTAAAAAGCGACCTGACTGAAGGCCGTCTTTTTCTCTCACACCTCGCCGCTCTCGACGTAGCGGCGCGCTCTCTCTTCGAAGTTGTCTTCCCATTGGCTGGAAAGAACCGCCACGCTGAATGCAGCGAAGTCCCGCTGCTCTTCTTGAGTCCATCCCATGATGTGGTCAAACACCATGGGGTAGTACCGGTTGGCGTAAAGGGAGGTCAAGTGGGTTCGTAGGAACTCCTTCAGCTGGTGGTTGGGGAAAATCCCAGCTTCTTTCAATTTCCTTGGTCTTGGCTTCTCTTCTGGCTTCAGCCATGCAATCAAAGTCTCATAGTCCCACCAGTCAGCATCAACCGGTGGGATCTCATCATAGGGCATCTCGGCCAGTTCTCTGGCTCTGGCGTCAGCTCTTTGGGCACTTTGGGCAAGTTGTTCATCAATGTCCACTTCCATAGGGCTTGCTTCATCTCGCTCGGAGGTCGATGGCCTGTACCTCCTTTGATATCCTCCGAGAGGATTGCTGATGAAGTATTCTTCACCACTCTCTGCATCATCAGAACTTGCCAACAACCGGTATTCTTGTAGTCGTCCAAGTTCTGGATTCCAATCAGTCACCCAGCTTCCAACACAGGTGATCTCTCCTCCAAATGGGTTGTTTCCATTGCCAATTTGATCTTCTCCTTCTGCTTCTGGTTCAGACTCTCCATCTTCTGGCCACATTCGAGTCTCCGGTGTTGCTTCATGACCTAGTTCTTCTGCTCCTTCTTCTGCTGATTCTCTAGGCAGCAAGGGTTCATAGCTCCTTGGTGCGGGATCAGGATGCCACTCACCAATGCCGGCTGCCATGCTTGCTCTCATAATCATACCCACTTCATTCTGGAGATCTTGTTCACGTTGAAACTCCATAGTGGTCTCCTGTCGTAGAAAGCGACTGCATGTTCGGAAGAAAATGGAAATCTTCATTCGAAATCTGTAGCCCAGGTAGATGCCAAAGGCGAACACAAACAGGGTGTAGACGCACGCAATCTTGAAGATCATCCACCCTGTCCACCACTCTCCTTCTTTTGTTTGCAGTCCTTCTCCAACCACTCCTTGTTGCAGCAAAAGCAAAGTCACTGCTCTCACAACATTCGTGGGTATTTTGGCTCCTGAACTTCCATGGTCC